GTGATCACTGTACGATCTCATTCCTCTGGAATCGACGCCTCACTCTTCACAACCAAGATACTTTCCGCAGGAATTTCTGGCGTGCCGATCCAATCCGCCTGCAAGCGGCCGCTAGCGGTATGGACTGGAATATCCCTCTATCCTCGGACCCAGATGAGGAGTGGAAACTTTTGTACTCCAAGCTTATTTCCCTTGTTGAGCAGGTTGTTCCTGTTTGCAAAAGGCGAACGTTTACCAGAGGCCCTCCATGGATAGACCGAGAATTGAGGTGTTTAATGTCCAAAAGACGTAAATTATGGGACCGATTCAAGCTTACTCACTGCGCGCTTGACTATTCGGAGTACAAATTGATCAGAAACCACTGCATCACGAAAAAACGTCAGAAACGGCATCAGTATGAACGCAGTTTGGCAGTGCAATCCAGGACGACACCGAAGGCACTCTACTCTTATTTGAAAAGAAGTACCAAAGCTGGCAGTGGCATTCCTGCCCTGTTTTCTGCAGAGCAGGGCGGTTTACTTGACGACGACGCGACGAAAGCCAGTTTACTGGCCCTGCAATACTCATCTGTTTACTCGATCGAGACGCCGTTACCCGATGACACTGCGCCAATCCACCCCTCTTCGTTGCAGCACGTAGAAATGAGTGTGGCTGACGTGGCCAAAGGCCTTCGTGAATTAGATCCGAACTCCTCGCCGGGTCCTGATGGACTGCATCCGCTGTTCCTCAAGACCGTGGCGGACTACATTGCTGCTCCCGTCTGTCAGATATTTCGCCACTCTCTGGAAGCTGGACGACTCCCAGTTGCTTGGAAACTGGGGACCGTCAAACCTATATACAAGGGAGGGGATCGTCGAGATCCTGCAAACTATCGACCTATCTGCCTAACGTCAGTGCTGTGCAAGTTAATGGAAAGGATTCTCAAGCGCGCCCTGCAGCTTCACTTCGAGAATCTTAACATCATCTCCTGTGCCCAGCATGGCTTTCGGCGGGCACGCTCATGTACCTCGAACTTGCTTGTTGCCAGGGAAAACTGGGCGAGGTCGTTAGACGCTGGGAAACGATTGGATGTGGTTTTTGTAGACTTCAGCAAGGCGTTTGACAAGGTCCCCCATGAAAGGCTCCTTCTTAAACTCCGAGGTACCGGTGTCTCTGGGAATGTCCTTTCCTGGATCGCTGATTTTTTGAATGGCCGGACCATGCGAGTCAAGGTGAATGAAGCCTACTCCACTCCTGTGCTGATGACTAGCGGTGTTCCGCAAGGGTCAGTACTTGGTCCAGAACTGTTCAAGATATTCATCAATGATCTCCCATCGGAGCTTCAGATGGATTGCCTGGTTTACGCCGATGATATGAAGCTGTGGATGGAGGTAACCTGTCTTGAGGATGCTGACAGATTGCAGGCATCATTGGACAATCTACACGACTGGTCAGTCAACTGGCAATTGCCCATAAATTGTGAAAAATGCTCAGTTCTCCCCATAGGCGCCCTCGAACCGTTCGGGATATACCATATTGGTGGGGTGTTACTCAGAACCACCACTCTTGAAAAAGATCTCGGTGTGCTTGTCTCACATGATTTACGGACCTTAGAAGACACACTACGGAGGGTTGCCTCTGCCACCAGGATGTCCCATGCCATACGAAGAGCCTTTTCGAGACTGACTCCGGAAATTTTCAGAATCTTGTTTACTTCTCATGTGCGCCCGATCCTTGAATACGGACTACCCGCAATCTGTCCTCTTACCAGGTTCGAGTGTAACATGATTGAGCAGGTACAGCGGCGTGCCTCGAAATCCATACTGGAGTTAAGGGACTTGCCTTACCCTCATCGACTACAGCGGATGCACCTGTTCTCCCTGGAATATCGCCGACGTAGAGGTGATCTAATTTTTACTAGGCGAATTCTGATGGGGGAAATGGGGACGGAGCTACAAGCGTTCTTTCAAGTCAACACTAATAGTTCCACTCGGGGGCACAACTGGAAACTATATAAAACCAGAAGACTCAGAGTTCGCTCCACTCTTGCTCTATCAACCCGCATTGTCAATGACTGGAACGACTTGCCGAAACATGTGGTCGACGCGCAATCGGAGGAATGTTTCAAGCGATTTTTGGATTCTCACTTGATGAGTAAGCTGGGACCCTGCTTCTTCCAATGTAGCTGTTACGGCCCCTTGTGGAATACCGTCTCGTAGCGACTCACGGCATCCACGCAATGATCGGGAAGTGAAGGAGCTGACAAAGGACTTTCCTTCTGCTCTCTACAATCCAATGATCCAATGATCCAATGAACCCACAAGTGCACCGGTACAAGCTTGTCGTACCGGGTTTGAATCGGGTCGCTCACCAAATCTGCTTCGAGCGGAGGTTGGTGGATATTTGGAATAATTTGCCTGCAGACATAGTTGAAGCAAAGCCGGTGTTGGAGGTTAAGAAACTCCTGGATTCACACTTTGCTGAACTGAGAGTTCGAGAATAATGATTATCATAAGAGATCAAGTTTATTGAAAGAAATTAAATGTAACTATACAGAGGCATCTCTACTCACTGCATTTTCACAGTATTCAGTATTAAGCACAAATTAAAGTGCAAACATGACAACAGGAAAGCGAATGCTGCGAGATGGTGCCATTTCGTGCCACTTTATAATTTGTTAACTACAAACATTTATGTCGTACAACAGCGAATTTGCGTAAATAGGTTGTGGCCCATCAGACGTTTTGGGAAGCTGAGCTTACCCGGTAGGAACGATTTTACTATAACTATCTAAGCTGTCCAATATCTTGCAGAACGCTTTGTTCGGCTCCACCTATCCTACGGTTTCACTGGATAATTGTGATTTAACCCCCTTTAATGACCGAGGATTGTTTGCACTTCGGCGCATTCTATAAATCAGCATAGTCTACTACTGGTAACCCGTAACTGACGGACTGGCAGGAAAATTTTTGACATAGGCGTTCTGGAAATCTGCTGTACGTTCAATGATAAATTATGGCAGGAATGGAGGTAGTGATGAAATAAATAAAAGACGTTGTTAAAATAGAGGAAACAGCTTACGGGTGTTGAGCTAAAATAATAAATAACTAATTAAAGTAACTTAAATATTGGAGGAACATAATACTGAAAATCTATAATCATATGCATACGCAAGTTTAGAGCAAGCAGTTATCAGTTGTTATTTATTTTTCATCCCTCAATGGTTCAATAGCATCAGACAGTAGCTGCCGTACTTAACCATACAGCACATGTTCAGCCCGCTTGTAGTCCGTGATTTGCGTACTTCGTCTACTACTGTCATTCACCTTAGTTCATGCTTCGAAGGCTCAGCTACGCTGATGTATGGTTGCTGGTTCGTTATTCACGAAGTAGCGGACTCAAGCACCGAATCCTTAGTGAACGAAATGGCTTTGGGACGCCATCCCTAATAACCGACCGTCAGCTGACTTGTTGCATTGTGAGTGCCGTTTAGCTCTGAGGATAACTTTCACCTCACCATGTCCCATCAATCACAGACCTCCATTAACCCCTTTCTGGCAGTTAGTTTTCCTACCTTCAGTAGACTATTTTATCAAGTGAGATACTTGCTCAAGCCATCGATTATTACCCTATCGGAGCGAATGTGCCTGATGTATACAGGGAGAAATAAGTCGACCACATTGTTAATACTACCTTCCCTACTGCTTCAATAATGGGATCGGAAACGAACAATGCAAAGATCAAAAATCATACTTCGTTTTTTAGACCACTTTCTAAAGACTATTGTGAAATAACGTAGCGCATGCATGTACAACCTCCATAACCGATTTCACCAATCATGAAATTTCGCTCTTTTCTGAACCGAATGACTTTATTTTGTCATCAGCGTTAGATGTTACATGGACGCGGTAGCACACCCTCCATTGCCACACATAGAGCAATCGTATGAAACAGGTTGGGGCAGCGTCTTTCCTCACCAGAATGTTAAAGCTTCTCTTATCGTTTCAACATACACCACAACCACGTACAGTGTCTAAAGCCAAAATGGTTCATCGTATTTCATATTTCTATCCTAGCTAGAGGACAGCCAATTATAAGCGCTTATTTCTGTACCTCCAGTAAATTAGATTCTGAGTAAGAGATTTGTGTAAAACAACCAACTACCTTGCTCATGCAACTTTGCCGTTGCACTGTTTGGGATCCCATAGGTAATCCTTTGGAAGTAGCCTGTTGTCAGCCGTTGATGCACTCACCTCTCTGCTGATTTCCACAATCTGAATCGGATTCCTATTGCTGGATAATGCGTTTATTATTAGTTACAAGCACTTTCGCTGAGACAGATCCACTTCCTTTAGATGCTTCCTTGTAAACCAATGGGAATCGGAGCAGAAGTTGCTTCGTTTTTAAGTTATATTTGTCCCATAACGTGACATTCGTGGGAATATAGGTGAATATTATTGGGTCCTGCTCTTACACCGGTCTTACAAATGACAGTTGCTTGCACACAGAGCCATACAGTTGGGCTACCTCGAAGTTCAGTTGGCCGGAATGGTTGCCAATACTATAGTGTGTAGGTCAAACTTAGTTTGCCATTTACAAGTGTTCTTCAATAGCCGGGGTGGTTCAGTCAGTGTGAACACTAACGTTTATATACATGTTGATGTCAGCTTTCGTACTTTGTCACTACAGATTACTGGCTCCGATGAATTGGAGAAAATCAGTAAACACATACCCCCCTCCCTTCGTGAACCATACAACTGTCGTCCCAATGGAATGGTACTGGAATCGATTTCTGCACAAACTCTTACAGCTAATGACGGTTCGCATCATACAAAGTACAGAAGCGAACTTGCTTCCCAGCTGCTCGGTGCACTCTACGTACTCAGATAAGCAGCAAGTTAGGACGAGTAATCACGGGTAGCATTACTATAAACAATACAAACGAATTTATTAGGTCACCTAAGTGTCACGCTTTTTACTAAAATTATATGGCTATTGTTTGTCGGTTGATTTCATGCTAGGGTCAATTGGCCGGGTTGGTACTCTCTCGTGGTGTAGTCGAGCCAGACGACCGCTTGCAGTGTCTAACCAACTGCATTCCAAGAATACATTTATTGGGTCAGGTAACAGATGGATCAGAAAATACAGAGGCACCACAGCTGTATCGGTCTTCTCTGAGCAACCTGATCGTCAAAGCGGACAGCTTGCAAGAGATGGGTAATCTTATTCGGAATGTGGTCTTCTACAATCCGCGCCTTCACCAAAGACCAGAAAATCGTCCGGAACCGATAGGGGTTCAAATAAACACGTTCACGCGGTAAGTAGTCACATATTCAGCAGCATGTATTCATTTCGATTGTATATGACAAAAACAACTTTTTTGACAATATGAATTCTCCAGTGAGTGTGTACGGCAATGTTTAGGAAAGTGTTGTCATTTACATACAGACTTATTAAAGTAAACTTTTACCATGAAATTTTATAGGCAGTTTGTTTTCTTGGAGATGCAATGGTGACCAAGTCAAAGTGTTGGGTTTTGGAGTACCCACTGCATGTTTGGTCTTTGGCATGTCCCACTTTAGGTCACGACTAGCTTTTAATTCAATACTACAGGTACCTTGCCTGAAGTAGGGGAAGTGAAATGTCGCTCGCTTCTAACTTTGTACCTCGTCATTCTTTTCCTCTTTCTTTAAAACGCCCAGTTATCATTATTTTGTGCGCCGGCTTGAATCCTTTACTTACCACTAAAGCTTGGTTTGCTGGTGCCGGAAATTGTTATGGTCATGATCCTGATTGCATCTTTCACCATTTGAGCCGGAGGAACCCGAAACTAGATAAAACCGATTCTTCAGTTTGTTGCTGAATGTAAACAGTCCATCTCATTGGTTTGTCATGTCCGACCAATATGCTCGCTTGACATTGCCAATCAGTCAGGTGTCCACAACGTGCAGCTTGACTAGATCATAAGCAATGATGCCTTCCGACTCTGTGAAGCAGCTACAAATTCCGCGTCCCACGCTCAACTAAACAAACAGACCGCTTTATCTATCAGTAAACAGGACACATCTCAATGAAGGTACTATTAGTTGTGCGGAAGGGCTGTAGTAACATTATTGCGTGTCCCATTATTCCACGCGGCTGAATGTAGCAGAGAGTTATAGCAGTTTCACATGTATCTGCATCCCTCAGACCTTAATTACCCGTTGTCACGGGCGGTTACTCAGTGAGGTACCAATATGAATGTAACCTAGCTCTACAAAGGAATTTAAACAAAAACCACTGGTCAGAGAAGACAAATGGTAGAAGTACACGCTTTATATGTTGAGTATTTTAATAAAAAGTTACTGATGATTTGGATGCTACTGTGGTAATCTCCCATTAATACTCTAAGTGTGGTTGTTAAAAATTTAATTTTTCATTATCTGGATTCGCAAATAATGCCAAATATCAGTTAAATGAATAACTGTGGCAAGAGAGGTATGTTCAAAACCTACGTGTCCCGTGCATTCAAGTGAGGGTACAGTTCTAAAATGAATGAGCCAGTTGCTTGAGAACTGAATGAACTAACTAGGCTTCCGCCCAAATTATTTCGGTAACCATAATCAGTTTGCTAGTAAGCATTAACTGAAGCAATAACAAATCACGTTGCATTTTGTGCGTCATATAGCCTTTAAACTCCTTGGGTATCCCTTATCTACTTGAAACGATTAAAACAGTCTTGACTCGGTGGTGCCAATACCACCTTGTGTGCAGATTCACCAGTTTATCGTGTGGTTGACTCCCAGTAACATCCATTTCCTATCTCCACTTCCACCTGCGACAGTTTCGACAACCGGTGCTCCACTGAGACCATTACGGAAAAGGTCATTCAGATTGTGCATCTTCCTCTAACCAAGCAAGCACTGGATTCGCTTGGGTTATATTCGCCCACTCATCCTTCCAGATTGACCGGCTCCACCAGTCCTGTTGAGCCCATCACTGACACTTTATATTCTCTGTCACTAAAGATTGACGGTTCACCAGATGGTTTGCAAGTGACTGAGGTTTCCGAGGCTTCATTGTATCAAGGCGTCTGGGTTTTTCCATCAGCGGATCTCTATTGGAAGCCGAGTCAGATCCATAACTCTCTCGCAATCGACCACAGTGAGTGAAATTACGAACGAGTTCAGTTCGCTATGCGTCAGTAACGTGTACGGAGCAAATTTATTCCTTGATTGATTAACCTCTCAACTTGGTACTTAGCACCCTTGGCTCTTCCTTGGTCTGGTTTACACAAATACCGTTAATTATCACAGAGGGATGCAGTCCGTCAGACCATCATAAATGCTCGTGCAGTTTGCTGATGGAGAGCAGTTTGCAACCTACGGTAGGCAAATTTGTGTGATGAATCCCTCAGGGTCAAACAGCATAGAGGTTGCAGTGCACGTCTGACTGTACGTCTATTCAGTACTATATCTGCCCTTCGGTGAACTCAATCAGTCATATCATACGACATGCAAATTTAACTTCACAATCAGACTATCTCCGAGGAATCGCAAGCTGTTAAGAGATCTCTGCGCTATGGGTGTGCAAATACCATTCTCGTAGGTTTCACCTATCCTGTCACGATGCCAGCACCAGAGCAGTGAAACTAGGGTGCAATAATCATGATTGACGTTAATGCTTACTCAGATTGCAAGTAGGCGAATGACACAGTAAAATCCAGCTAAATAATGACTGTAGTTGCTTCTATTCATCGAGCTGAATTATGCCGCGAAGTGACGTACTGGAAGATGCAAATACATTTTAGACGAAGCGATGATAACTAATTAAGTATTTTTAAGCAGGCACAAACGATCGAATACATGGCAGAAATCAGGGATACATACCAAATGCCCCTCTATGCGTAATGCTGGCCTGCTGCGGATATTAACAGTAACTTAAATCGTGTGGAAGCATGCACCTGTATCTGTCGTGCCTAGAGTTTGGATACATAATTCACAGGTTGCTTCGGACAAGTGTGATTGGTTGGGTCAATCGATAGTATCACTAGCTTTTGTTGACCTGTCACGTTTGGTTTAGTCTTGTAATTGTATTCACCAGAAGTGAAGTGCCGAAAAGAATGCTCTCCCCAAATCTTATGCCTCTAATTTCTATATCTGTTGTCACTCTAAATTGATTGTGCACCGCGATATGCCATCTACAAAAAATGTTATGGTAACCGAGCAATAATTCTTTCACGCACTCATCAGTGTATAGCCTTCTTGAAGGGTCAAACAGGTTCCACTTGTTTAGCATCGGAGTGCAACTGGGTTAGTGCAGTCAGCAACTTGGTCTGGTTCCGTTGCGTTCGCAACACACACCGGTTAAACAAATGCAGTTGAATTTTATCCGGATTGAGCGGTTGCACTCTGTAATACTGTCAAATTACGTATGAAGTAAGTTTGATTATGACGCGAGACAGTGAAAGCCCTTAGGGAACTGAGCCCCGCTTACATCTTACAACGGCCGGGAGTTAGTGAACATGAGGTTTTCACAACCTAAAGTCTAATTGTGCATGAATGTTTACTTAGCGCATTTAGGCCATCGCAGTTCTCCCTGTTCCGTGCACTAGGACCCTTATATTCATATGATGCTGTTGTAAGTATTTCATTGGAGATACCGAGATTTTTCCTACACACTGTGTAGTTAGGCTGCGATAGACCTGTCCAGCTATGAGGGTAAACAAACGCTCCGTAGGTTGTTGGATGTCGTTATCCCAGCTAAGTTATCAGCTACGGTCCTCGTAAGTGGAAGACCAAGGTTCATCTCAATGGGAATCGCGGTCAACATTGAGACTGCGCTTCGCAATCCATCCACACTACGTGTACTTCAAAGATGACCCACAACATCGTTCATTAAACCGTTGTACCAAGTGTTGCCCGTCGTGTCCCGGTGGCTTAGGGATGGCGGTCACAACTAACATCCCAATGGTCCCGGGTTCGATGTCTGCTAACTCTATTTGATGAGATGTAATAACATCGAAACGCGTCATAGTAGTGCAGTGTTTTCGGGCGGGCAACACCCAGTTTCTATTTATTAATAAGAGGGTTGAATTAATAGGAAGGCGTGGATATTGCAAACTAATAAACAGATGGCGAGAGACAACCGCGGTGCAGATTCGAGTGCAGAGTAGGCGGAACAATAGAACAGGGAGTTAAAATCCAATACTTAACGAATGAATAGATGAAAATGGTGGCATGTATGTCGGTATGTTTGAGTGTGTACTAGTGAACTCATCTAGAAGTTTTCTTGATAATATTTAGTCTATCTGGATAGAAGTTAAGAATACAGCGTGGCTTGCGGTATGTATCCTCCCGACAAATGTGTCTTTTGCCATCCGTAATTTGGTGACAGAAGCACCGTACATGTGAAGGGCGTTTCATAGCTGGAAATTCAGTCAGGCTTAGTGTATTGTCAATTCGAGTTGATAGTGACTCAAGTTAATATTCTGACTAAAGACCCTAATTTTCCGCGTCGCTGAACCATGATTTCCGCGATAGAACTTGGAAATTCCGTGAAATTTCTGCGGCGCAAACATTAACTTCCGCGATTTCAAAGCGAAAACGAAAATAAACGGAAATCAAGGCACCTTCAGCCATTATCTGCATGGCAGTCATGATTAAAAACAGAGGAATTAAAATAAAACCCAACAATGTTTCAGGCTACTGCCAGACACGATATATTTGTAGGCATTAAAGCTCAGTTCAGCATCTACCGAACTTACACGAATGCATAGATAACGGCCGGCGATGTCTGCCAGTTGTGGAGTTCTTTCATGCATCCCGCACCAGAAGGCCAGCGTGTCTTCACATTTTTCTCCTTGAAGTTCTTCCAACACTTTTCTGTAGATTATCCACTCGGCTGCCGGAGCTGAGGACCTAACAAGGCCTGGAACATCGGCGTAGTTGCCTTGATCACTGGGCAAGGTGATGAGCTGTTTTGGGATCGAGCAATCTAATAGCTTTCAAAAACGGCCAGCTAGCCTGTGATGTTAGCAACTCCTGGGCTTTTATGGCAGCTTGAGATAAGCAGAGTTGCATGTCAGTTTGGATTTTGCTGGACGCATCAAAGTGAGTCCATCTGCCTACAGTGTTGCAACATGTTTCCTACAGCGACAGCTTTCAGCGACTTGGATAGATCGGAGAGATCACTGTGAATCTTATGGGTTACCGAATACTGTGATTCGGTAGTTTTCAGGTGATGTATGATGTTCTTCCCAACAGTCGTAATGTAACGCAGTTGTCATCTCAAAGTTTTATATTTTGTTTTCTTGGTTAGAATATCTGCCGATTCACAAACACCAGCTGAGTCTCCAAACTCTTGTCGTACAGCTTGTAACATGGTTGGATAATGATGGAAATGCTGTGAAATGCGACAGGAGTTCCATCGGTTGATGACCGATGCAAGTGGGCCGGTTTGGTTATTCAAGCCCTCCTGTGTTAGATGCGCTTTGTAGACAAGTCTCTTTCTTTCCGAACGACGAAAAGCAACCTTTATTTTTAACACGAATTCGTTGAGTTCGTGAGTTACTTTGCGAATGGTCTTTAAGCAAGTTGATGCAATGGGCAACACATCTAATGTGAAGGGAATCCTCACAAACTGGTATAGTGACATCTCGGTAGCATGCTCTTATACCTAGCGCCATCGAACACGAAGACCTTCACACGACTGAACTCTATACCATCATTGTCAAGCTGTGCCGAATGGCTTCTCCAACTGCGGCAGAAGTAACCCTCTCCATACTGACCGTGTTGACAAGGTATGCTCGGAGGCTGTCCGTGTTGGACTTCAATGGGGTACATAACAGGATGTGTAGTTCCATCTTCCCGCAATAATTAGTTGTCTCTTCTGGCTTAACACTGACAAGCTATAACGGAACATCTATGTAAATATCTGACTATGTTTGCCGTAGAGTTGGAGAATTTTCAGACGTAGCACGTCAGACCCGGCAATGCTTCCACCATTTCGTACGTGTCTGTAGAGAACTTTCCTCAATTGGGTGTTGTCAGCCTTCTCTAGAGAAATATTTGCAGATACCATAGCAAGTTAAAAGTTAGATATCCCTGGGTCGCCGGCTTGCTGGGCAGCATTCGCGACGGTGATGGAATTAGCGATGCTTGCTTTTCGAGCTTTTTTCGGAGCCGGATCCCCTTGGCAACAAGTTTATTTACTTGCTCCTCCTTGTAAGCTCTCTTCTGAAGATGCTTCTGGCTGCGAATGTGGTCAACCACGGTTGATTTTTGAAATGGATCCAAAGTCACTTCATACGATGAACAAAACAGTAGCTTTTTGCCGGCGTTAGCGACGTAGTATTCTCCAGGAAAGTCCTTTACTCTGTCCAGGGCAATTGTTCCTTCTACATACTGTTTTCTTTTCTGAGATGGCGTCTGCGGAAGTTAAACATGTTGATTATTGTAAGCAACAGTTTCGCTTAGTTCTCATGTAATGGTTCAAACGAATATGGAGCCGACACTGAATTACGTTACTATTCAAAGGAATGTGAAAATTCAGCAATGGTATGCCTCAACAGTAACTGCACAATACTGGCACAACAGTGTCTTCGGGAAGTACTCAAAGCGGATACAAATCATCGTTCTTGCCTCTGTACTGACAGACGACTTTGGCCTCTCAGCAAATTAACACAGGTGCTTACATTGCGCCGTCGAGTCCTATGCAATGACGTGTCCGCTGTTCAACGCATAAGAAGCGACTGCGCATCAAGTTCACGGGTGACCGTAATGGGAGGCTGCGTGTGCCTTTTGGACATGCGCAAACGGTTTGACCGAACGGATGTCGAACAGTTTTAATATACATGTGAGCAGAGCGTGTTTGTATAATGCACAACAGAATGAGGGCAAAGTGTAAGCAGACAGATGGAACATGGTTGATTAGCGGATAGATGCATGGGTAACACTTGGGTCTGGGGACAAGCGGACTTGGATAGCAGATGGTGGACAGATGGTGATGATGATGCTGCAGTGGAATGTTTCAATAGCCAGCTGGCTGCTTTGGCATTTCCTCCGAATACAACTATATCGATTGCAACGAAAAAGAATTCAAATCAACTTTTTTGTAAATTAATATATTTTATCCGTGATTCCCCGAAAATTTTCATTTTCCGC